TCTGTGCTTTATGACCTTACTATAAATGAATTTTGTTTCAAGGGATCCCTCCCCTCCCCCTTTTTGGTTTTGTTTTTCAAACAAGGTTTCTCTGTGTAGCCTTGGCTGTCCTGGACTGGCTTTGTAGACCAGGCTGGCATTGAACTCACAGAAATCTACTGTCTCTGCCTCCCCAAGGGCTGGGATCAAAGGCTGACCACTGAGCCCAGCTGAGATTTTTTCTTGATTCCTGAGATTATTGTCTTATTACATTAAGTATGATGTTGAATAATGAGGAGACTCACTTGCCTTGCTCTGTATAAAAACATCTAGGTTCTCACCATGACTTATATAGGATTTTGTAAATATTTTCTCAAGTCTACCTTACTGAGAGGTGTATGTGTGTTCTTAAAGTCTACAAGGTGTCAGATCCTCTGGACCTAGAACTATCAGCAGCTGTGAGCCACCTGACATGGACTAGGAACTGAATGTGAATCCCCTAGAACAGTAAACATTTTTAACCACTAAACCATATCTCTGCCCGACCCCCATTTCAAATTGCTCTTAAAGTTTATCACAAATGGATGCTGAATCATGGGAAAAGTATTTTCAGTATTTATTTGTGTGTGTGTGTGTGTGTGTGTGTGTGTGTGTGTGTGTGTGTGTGTGTGAATATAAAAGCTTTCTGTCTTATTCTTGGGGTGGCTGACTGGGGAAGTTAGATTCCTTTGGTCCAGGTTTGTGTTCTCATTAAGAATGACAAACATACATACAAAGTAAGCAAGTACAAGTTTCATTCACTGAGAAAGTTCTTGAGAAAGCAAAAGCAGATGCATGATGAACAATGGCAGCAATTGCCTTGTGAGGCACCTGCAGAAGGTGGTCAGGGTGTTACTTTTTATGAGCTCAGAGTTGTTGATGAGCACAGATCATTTTGATAAGCTCTATCTTTTATGATAATTACATAGCTTGGGACATGCATATTACTCACTTGTAACTATGTGATGTGCAGCTGGAAGTCAATTTTCCCTTACCAACGGAGTGGAAGGTCACAAAACTGTTATGTGTCAGGAGCTTTAAACAACTGTACATGCTAGGGTGTTTAGTAGCTGGTCAACCATGCATAGACTGATCTTTAACTCTTGAGCCAAAACATCTTTCCTCAAGTTATTTTTCTCAGATATTTTGCTAATGACTGATGCATAAACAGAAAAATAAGTCTAATAAAGTAATGAATGGATTCATAAATCTTAATAAGGAAGCATTATCAAATAGTCAAAAGTACATTTTTATTCCCTGGGGCTTAATTTCTAACCACAAATTTATTTTCTCCTACATTGTCTTAATGTATAATCTTATACATTACTCAAAAAAGATACATTGAGGCACACTAAATTTTTTGTTTGTAAATTACAGTATCATCATTATTTATAGGAAAAATGTTCCTAACTCCAAAAATATTAGTATTCCTAACTTGAAAAACTCATCTTCAAAAAGTTCACATTTCTGGACATCTCAGATTGTAGATTAAGAATCTTCACCCAGTAAAGGCTATGCAAATATTCTAAAGCAAAACAAAAAACAAAAAACTCAACATTTCTCAATCCCTAGCACTGCAAAAACTCCAATTTTGAAATCTGAAACACATCTAGGCTCAATGTTTCAAATATGGGATACCCAATCTATATCTGAGTAAATGAAATAACAAATTCTAAATCTTTAAAAAGAGTTTAGTGATTTTAGACATTGTTCTCAACAATTAATAGATTTTCTACAGCATTATTTTAAAAGCTCAAAAAGCTTAAAGGCACTTGGTTTAGATTGGTTATAAATAGAAACTAATGTATTAGTCTGTTTATATCTTGTTATATAAATATTTGTTAATAAATTAAGTTGAAAGTGAAAGACTTATCAGAAAAATGACCCACTTTGTTGCCTTTATCTACTCTTGCAAATTACAAAAAGCCATAAACAATAGTACCTCTTTACAGAACTGCTCCATATTCACTGCCAGCATTCTATCTTGTTCAGATAACTTCAAAACATTCATTAAAAAGTTCCTTATTAGGGCTGAGAGATGGCTCAATGGTTAAGAGCACTGTTTGCTCTTGCAAGAGAATCTAAGTTGAATTCCCAGCAACCACACGGTGACTAAAAACCATCAATACTGGGCTCTGATGCCTCTTCTGGCATGCAGATGTAGATGCAGCCAGAGCACTCAAAAAAAAAGAAAAGAAGTGGAAAACAGTAAGATCTGGAGAGGACAGGAACTCCACAAGGAGAGCAACAGAACCAAAAAATCTGAACACAGGGGTCTTTCCTGAGACTGATACTCCAACCAAGGACCATGCATAGAGATAACCTAAGACCCCTGCACAGATGTAGCCCATGGCAGTTCAGTATCCAAGTGGGTTCCATTGTAATAGAAACAGGGACTGTCTCTGATATGAACTTACTGGCCTGTTCTTTAATTACCTCCCCCTGAGGGGGAAGCAGCATTACCAGGCCACAGAAGAAGACAATGCAGCCACTCCTGATGAGACATAATTGACTAGGATCAGAAGGAAGGAAAAGAAGTCCTCCCCTATCAGTGGACTTGGGGAGGGGCATGCATGTAGAGGGTGAAGGAAGGGAGGATTGGGACTGGAGGAGGGAGGGAACCACAGGGGGGGATACAAAGTGAATAAAGTGTAATTAATAAATAATTTTAAAAAAGTAAAAAAAAAAAAAAAAAGTCCTCATTCCCTCCTTCAGTGTTGCACCTAGAAGGTATTTTATTCATAATCTCTCGCTAAAAGGAAGATATACTCTCTAAAATACAACTTTTAAGCAAGAGTGGGGAGCTGAAGAGAGGACTCAGAGGTTAAGAGCACTGGTTGCTCTTACAGAGAATCTTGAGTTCTATTTCCAGCACTTTAATGATGGCCACAAGCACTTGGCAAACAAGTGGTAAATAGCTATACATGCAGCCAAATACCTATAAGTATAAAAATAAGCAAGCCTAAATAAATAAATAAAACAAAAAAACCCCAAAGTGCTAAGCATGGTGGTGAACACTTAGTAGGCAAAGGCAAAGAAATTGACCATCCTAGGCTCATAATGTGATTTAAAAAAAAAAAAAAGTAACACCTCAATTTAAAAAAATTTTTCTCATGTATGCCAGGCTAGTCTCACATCCCTATGTTGCTGAATATCACCTTGAACTTCTGATCCTCCATAGACATATACCATCACCAAACCTGGTTTACGTGGTACTAGGATCAAGCACAGAGCTTTGTGTATGTTAGGCAAGCACTTTACTGAGCATCCCCAGCCCTCCACATAACCACGTATAACAATTCAAGCTAGTGTTTGTTTGTTTGTTTGTTTGTTTGTTTATTCTCTAACCTTACTCATAAGCAGTGGCTTCAGGGCAGGCACAATTTTTTCTGATGGCTTTAACAGCAAGCATACTAAGTTAGGCCTAGTGCTGCATGTCAATATTCCCAGCACACAAAATAAGGGATAAGGAGGGGAAGATAACTGACTTTGAATGTCTCAAAGAGTCAATAAACAAGCAAACAAAAAACCGAGAGCAAGCATTCCAGGCTGGTTTATTCTGTGTTAAGGATCCCACCAAGGGCCTTCTACTCTGGACAAATACTCTACCAACTGAGTTATAGCCTCATGCCCTCCCCAAACCTAAATACATAAAAGTATTTCTTTTTTAAAGTAATATTTCTAAGATATTACTTAGAATATTACTTGCTTATTTTTAAAGGGTAAAACAAACGTTTGACTTACAGAAAGTAGAAAACAGAGCAAAATAATAGTAAGTTTAGAATTCTCTAGTTTAGCTTATATATAATCTTATCTACCTGGGAAAATTATCTGTTTATAAAAATATATCACAGCATCAATAGCTAGATTTTTAGAAAAAAAAAAAAGAATATTCAGTTTTAATGAAAATTAAGAGCAAATTAAAATAAATTATCTAGCACATAATACTTATTAAAAGAGTTTTCAGGTCTGAAGATGTTCCTCTCTTGGTAGAGATAGTTGCGTAGTGTGAATGAGGTCTGTGGGTTTGAGTCCAAGGACAGCACAGATTTTGTTCTGGTATGCAGGAAGCTAGAGAGCTAGTAAATTTGAGAGCAGCCAGAGCTACAGGAGAATCTTTTCAAGAAAGAAAAAATTAATAATTCAAGCTATCTTTAAATACTAGCTTTTTGTTTGGTTGATTGGTAGGTTGTTTGTTTTTTTGTTTTGTTTTTCCGTTTTCTGAGACACAGTGTCTCTACATAGCACTGGCTGTCCTAGAACTTACAAGGTAGGCCTGGCTGGCCTTGAACTCACAAAAATCTACCAGCCTCTGCCTCGCAATGCTAAGATTAAAAGTATGTGCCATAACCCAGCTAAACATTACCTTTTTGCATTCCAATTTATAACAGATCTGGAAATAGATTTGCTAAACATTTTGCAATTATATTGTTATTATATTATTATATAAGATTACTTACTTATTATGCATGAGGTCCTAAGATCAATCCTCAGAACAAGAAAAAATAAAACCTCTGCATTAAGTAACTTCTCATTAAAATTTCTAAACATAATGCCAAATGTAACTCAAAAAGCTTAAATAATGACACAAGTTTAAAAAGAAAAATATTACGTTAGCACAATCACAAATTCTTTTGTTATTTTGTTCTTTTTGTTGTTTTTCAGGTTCTTTGTTGTTATTTCAAAATCACACATTCATAAGAATTCTATAATATTTTTACTTATATTCTAACCTACACAGTTTTAAAAACTTCAGCATGTTGAATGAATTGAAAAGGCCCATTTTTAACATGTACAATAGCAGTATAAGTCATTTCAAAATACTAAAAAGATGGACAACCAGGGCATGATAGTGAAGGCTTGTAAACCCACTCAGTACTCAGCAAGCTAGGATGCATGAGACCCTATTTCAAAACAAAAAAGGAAGACAGACTATGCCTTTGATTTGCAAATAATATTCTTTATTTAAACAGTCCTGTGTTTTCTTTATCCAAGAATGTCACGATTCCAAACTGTGAAAACAGACCATCATTTCATTGATGGAAAGCTTCTAATCTTATTCGAGTTGGATCCTCTGGATGTCTCAAAGCAATTCCGTAACGCAGAAGCAGCTCAATATATGGTGGCCAAAAGGAATCACTAATTTTAACATATGGATCATGTGGAACATCAAACATTCTATTTATAAGAATCTAAAAAAAATTATTAAAAATATACTTTTTGTACAAAAGGGTCTATATACTTTCATAAAACAGCACAGCTTTCCATTGAAGAACAGTGACTATTCTTCTCCATGATCAGCTGTTCATAAACATTACTTTCATGTACTTAAAAATATCTGAATTTGAAAACTAGATATTAGTGGATAGAATATGTATTAAAATAAATCCCCATTAAAATGAAAACCATTCTTAAAAACTGCCTAGAAATATTTAGAACGTTCCTACTCCTCTTAGTATAATTTCCTTACAATAAGAGCAAGAATCATAAAATTTTAAATTTATAAATCAGGGGTAGAACACAGCTAACTACATAAGGCTCTGGGTTTTATCCCATCATCAGTTTGACCCTTTAAAACATCTATTCTCTTGATAAGTCTTCAAAAGAGCTAAATTTGCAATTATCATTTCCTTCATCTTCTCCCTGAATATCTCTGATTACTTTATAAACAATGTTGAGAACTTACAATCAAATCTGACAAACTTTGAGTATTATGAAGATAGCTTTTCACAAACTATATTCCACATGGAAGTGGTGTCCCTTATTAGTATGTAAGGAGTTGAAAAATAGATGATTCAATAAAGAAAATATAGTATATGTGCACAATGGAATTTTATTCATCTATAGTAAATAAAATTATGTCATTCTCAGGAAAATGAAACTAAACAATATCATGTTAAGTGATATAAGCTAAACCTAGAAAAAACCCTAAGTTTCCCTTTTACAAAATCTAAATTTAAGCATGTGTATGTATAAATGGAATGAAAGTAGAGCAGATAGGGAGAAATGGGGGTGAGGATGCTATAAAGTAGAGAAGGAGACATGGAGAAGCGGAGAAAACAAGAAAGTTGACCAGGTGGAGAAAAAAAATAATAAGGGAGACTATTTGGTGAAAGAGTCCCAGAAATAGAGAGAAATAAGATTGGAAGATGGTAGTAATTGGGGCAAAAATGAGCAAGGTATAGTGATACATGTATGGAAAAAATGCCATAATCATACTTATTATTGTAGGCATAATGTTATTGTACACTTCTGTAAAAACTCAAATGCTGATTTCTGTGGCCCCCATATCTGGTTGCAATCCCAGTTCTGAGAATCTCCCAGCAAAATGCTGTGTAAACACTGATCCCCAACTGTTCCTTGATATGTCAATAAAACAGCTTAATAGGTGATCGCTGAGCGGGAAGAGAATAGGGCTGGAATTTCTGTGATCCAGGGGAGAAGAAGAGAGAGAAGATTCACACACAGGCAGAAGCACAGGAGATATGAAGAGAGAGCAGCTGGAGCAGAGAAAGCCATAAAGTGCAAGTATCTCGGGATTTAGGCTGGGAAAAAGCCAGATTAACTTAGAGGGTTAAAAATAAAGTCATAATTGTTCAGTATTGTGTGGTAAAGCATGTTAAATGAAAACATAGTACAGTCTCAATGATTTGGGTGTTATCCAGGTTAAGAGAGAAACTACAACAAACAATTTGAAAAGTACCAATAACCTATTATTTTGTCTGTTATCTCAAACACTTAATTAAAAAAATAAAAGAAAACCAAGGTTTTGTTATCACCAGAAAGTTTAGAGAAGCTAGTTAATGAGATCTAAGACTCAATGGTCTTCCACAAATCTACTGGCATTTGCAGAGATTTTTCATGAAACAATTATATTCAATTATTTGAAAGCTAATTATTAAAGTAGAACTTAGACCTAAGAAAAATTAGGGGATTTGGTAGATGTACATAATTCATGACAAATCATTAGTTGCAAGGTCAAAGCTTTAATTGGAAGATACTATTATTTTAAAGATTATGAAAAGGCACAATTTATATAAATAAAAAGGGTTATAAAAGTGACTAAAATTAACCTGCCAACCTCTAATTTCAATTATAGTCATAATATAAATATTTAAATTCATGAAATAAAAACATAAATTACCACTAATTTTCCAATTTCAAGTTTTCATCCTGGGAAATAAAATACTCAAATCCCTTCTTTAAGAAAAATTTTCATATTTCAGAGTAGTTATCATAATATAATTTAAAAGCTTTATGAGCTGGATATATAACTCATTGGTACAGCACTTGCCAAGGATAAGGACTTGCATTCCATCCCAATACCATAGAAATAAAAAAAATAAAGTGATTTATCTTACATTTCTAATTTTTATTAGATTACATTGATTAAAATTCTAATTAAAAATACAGTAAAAATATACTGAAAATTCAAATTTAAATTGAGTATGCTAATTCCACTGAATTGTAGCTTAAGTATTAGTTATTTTTATCACTGATAATATGAACTACAGAGAGATTTTGGTTTCTAAATTTTATATTGTATGCCTTGACATACCATTAAAATTCATAACCATGTGTTTCAGATAATATTTTCAATATTTTCCATAAAGTATCATTTTAAATTTTTTATTACCACTTGCTTCTTCTGTGTGGACCTGCATCTGTGTGTGTCTTGACAGATCAGAGACAACTTACAGGGGTTGTCTCTCTCCATCCATTATGTGCGTCATGAGGACTGAACTCACCTCACTGGGCTTTGAAGCAAGCACATTTAATCACTAATAATCACACTGGCAAAAAGTGGCATTTTTTACTTTAAAAAAGATAATACAAAAAAAAAAAAAAAAGTGCCAAGTGGTAGTAACGCACACTTTTAATTCCAGAGTATCTTTATGAGTTTGAGGACAGCATGGTCTATGGAGCTAGTTCCGGGACAGCTAACGCTGCAAAGTAAAACCCTGTCTCGGGGGTGCGGGTAGGGGAAGGTAATACATCCAAGTTATAGTTTCAGCTTAAACTAGTAAAGTCAGAAAAATATAACAGATTCTGATTATAAATCAGACAAAGATTTTTATCTTGCTTTTCATGTCAATATTCATTAGTAAACGATTCTTAGCCAGTAAACCTGAGATATTTGTACCCAACTCATTAAATTAGAGTAAGTTCTGACAATACTCTTCTAAATTTACTAGTCCTGCAGCTGGGAGAAGGAAACACAGCACCCGTCCCTAATCCAGAAGCTATCTCTAATTGATAGCCACATGCAAATAAAAAAATATTTTTCTTCAGGAAAGTCTCACTGGGAAACAAACTACTTTTAAGGGTAGGTCCCTATGTCCAGTTGTAGATGGCTAAGAAAAAAATGTATTCAATGGCATCTTTAGAGGTTCTGAGTCTCAAAATGTTGTGGGGGGTATTTTTAAAAATCTTATAGGTCTTTTGAATATATATAAAATAGCTTTTGGTTTTGTGTTTTTATTGGATTTTTGATTGTGTGAATGTACGTGTCTCTGAATCTATGTGTGTCTCTCAAGCTTTTTCTTTGCATCTTTTTCTTTTGTTTAGTCCTAGTCTAATTAATTTGTTTAATCTTATTTTCTTTTAGTACCGTTCCTTAGATGCCTGTTCATTTTTTAACTAAAGACAGAAAGAATGTGGATCAAGATGGGATGGGAGGTAAGGAGAAACTGAGAGGAATATGCGGAGGGGAAGCATAATCAGAATATATTGTATAATGAAATTTATTTCAACAAAAGGAAAACATTTAAAAAGTACGTAACTATTTGCTTTTCACAGACTTCTCTACCTAACGTTTTCTAAAGTAATTCATATATTTAATAAGCTGGCTCATGTTCGAGTACCTTTTTATAATGCCAAAGATATGTATTTATAAAACAAAATAAATGCCAAACTAAAAAGTAGAATTAGTCTTTCCATTGCAATAAAAGAAACATTTTATTTAAAATATTTTATATTCATTTATGTTTTAGGTGTAGAACTGAGCTGTAAACTAAAATTCTATCAGTATAATAGCACACGGTGTTAGGGTGCAGGTAGCAAATGAATAAATAAGAAACTATGTTAAAGAATCGGATAGCCTTTTATTGTTTTTTTGTTTGTTTGTTTGTTTGTTTTTTGAGACAGGGTTTCTCTTTGTAACAGCCCTAGCTGCCCTGGAACTCACTTTGTAGACCAGGTTGGCTTCAAAGTTACAGAGATCCACCTGCCTCAGCCTGCCAAGTGCTGGGATCAAAGGCGTGCACCACCAAGCCTGATTCAAAAATTATTAATAGAAAATCAAAGTACCGTTTTTTTGTCTTTAATTGTTCACTAAATAGATAGCTCTAACAAAAAACAAAAAATTACACTTACCTCTAACATTTCATTCAGTGTTATCAGCTGTGCATTCGATTCCTGAATGTTTTTCTTTGAGAAATATATAAAATTATTAACATGACAGAATAGCAAACTACATAAGACTTAATAACATTTTGTAGTTGTAATTGTACTAAAGTCAAATTCTGAAAGTAAACAACCTTATTTGTTTACAAGTTAGAGTCTTAAAAATGCAATGGAAAAATCTTCTAAGACAATGAAAACATTATAATTGTTATAGGATACAATTCAAGCTATCTATACAATAAATTACATTACACATATTATATGTGAGAATATAAGAAAAGTAATATGGTTTGAATCAAACAAAAATTCTCCAAGCAAATGGCATTCTATTACATTTCAGGGAGGCTTCTACAGGAGCCTGCCCTGTTACCTTCCCATAGATCTTGACAGTTCCTAATATCAACAGTTCCTAGTATTAACCCAATTCACTGAATTTTTTTCCCTTTGAATGACATGGAATAACTAATTTAACGTAATTGGAAGACAGCCACTATAACACATGTGTTTTTCATATTGATACTCATTAATTCCTTCAATTCTTTTTCTCGTGACACAGAGTTGAAATCTTTCATAACTGTAATCAAGGTTAAAAATTCCAAATGATCTAGGTATGATTCAACCATCAAGAATAAAAAAAAAAAAAAAGAATACTTTAATAACTCAAGATGCTAGAATGCTGGTCATTAAATTTTGGGGCATCTATATAATCCTGCTAACTTCTGAGCATTATATTAGAGAGAGAGAGACTATAAAACAAAGCACAGTTACAGAACTGACTAGAAAATATCAAGACAGATTCAATTTAAGTAGGTATGCTTAAGCCTCAGTAATTGTTCTTCAACAAATCATTTGGTAAAAAAAAAAAAAGAAAGAGAGAGAGAGAGAGAGAAAGAGAGAAAGAAAGAAAGAAAGAAAGAAAGAAAGAAAGAAAGAAAGAAAGAAAGAAAGAAAGAAAGAAAGAAAATATTATTGGTTTACATGGCTAGAGAAATGGCTTAGTGGTTAGGAGCTCTGACTGCTCTTCCAGAAGACCTGGATTCAATTCATAGCACTAACATGGTAGCTCCCAACATTCTATAACTCACACATGTGGTATATAGATATACATGGAGGGAAAAAACATCAATGAGAAGATAAATTTATTTATTTTATGTATATGAGTGCTCTGTTTTCATGTACACCAGAGGAGGAAATCAGATTCCAGTATAGATGGATATGAGCCACCATGTGGTTGCTGGGAATTGAACTCTGGACCTTTGGAAGAACAGCCAATGCTCTTAACCACTGCACCATCTTTCCAGCCCCTACTGGTAGCTTTTAAATAAAATACAAATACTGAAAGTAAAAATAACACCAAATTAGAATAAAGGTATAGGTGGAAGAATGTCATTTTTCTCATTTCTATAGCAGTAAATTCCTACTACTTAAAACTGAGAGATGAAGTTAAACAAACTTAGAATATTTCCTATTTTTTCATAACTTGTTTTCTTTCTATTAGAGGTCTCTTTCCAGTGTTCAAATCATTTGAAGCAAAGAAATAATCTAAGTTCAACATTTGAATTTCACTTTTCTTCTATCAAAGTTAATTAAAATCATACTTATCATTCATGGTATAGCAGTAAATATAAACTTCCACTGCTTGAATTAGCTATTAATTTGTTTCCATACACACTGTGTGTAGGACACTGTTTCCATTTTAGTAAAAACCATGTTAGTGACTACTAACATGTTAATCATGAACAGGGATTTGGGTTTTAACTTTCTTTTTTATATTCATATTAAGTTCATTGTTGTAAACAGAACTATGTGTCTGAAACAGTATGTGATGAATTTCAGATGCAGTTGTGTTTGGAAACAAGACATAATCAAATATTAAATGAGGTCATCAGGGTAGGTGTCAAATCCAAAATGCAGAATATTTTTTGTTGTTGTTTTTGTGTAGTAGTAAGACAGTAAGAGAACTTTTAAAAAAATTCTTTTTCTCCCTGCACACAGAGCAAAGATCAATGTGAAGACAGTGAAAAGGTGCCAACTCCCAGACAGGAATAGACCTCACCTGGAGCTAATGCTGAGAGTATTTAGCTCTTGTATTTCTAGACTTTAGACTGAAGAACAAATTCATTTTTTATACCAGGGTCTCTGTTAATACAGTATTAAGGCTGGCCAGATAAAGAGAACAGAAAGAGACAGTGATAAATAGTTGCAGTGCAAAGAGACTCCTATTCTCTTGTCCTCTGATTTTGACACACAGCTGTGCAACGTAAGCATGTGGGCACTGTACACACATACCATACATACAAATAAATAAATAAAATTTTAAAATGTATTTAATCAATCCCATTTTATTAAACAATAAAGTAGCTGATTTTCAGTCCTACGATAGGATAAAGGCATATTTGTGTATATTATTTCACTAGTCCTTCATTCTTTTGCTTTTGTTCCTATATAAACAACTACAATTACAACAATTTAGATAACCTCATTTTTAAAACTTACCCTTTTCTTTTTAGTATTTCCATCAGGCAGAGGAAAATGATCTTCTAAAAACTCACCCAAGGTAACCAGGAGCTTCTCCTTAAATTCTTTCATACTAAGCATCTTAGCTTTTAACTCATTAAATATTCTAATAACAAAAAATAATAACACAATCACATAACTGATAAAACACATTTGTGCACACTTCTGGTTATACATGAAACTGACCAAAACATTGTGAAACTTCATTTGATAGATGTTAACTAGAGAGTATTCAAAAAAGATGAAATAACTAAGAGTTGGCAAAAATTAGGGCCACCTTTTGATCTACTTTATCTAATATAAAAAATCCTTTCTCAAAAAAGTCTGAAAAATCTAGAACAAAACTGATTACCTTGATTCAGAAAATGTCACAACCTGATTTTTTAAATCACTGTGTAATACATTCAGAGTTTCCAGTATTTGCTGTTGTTCATCCAACCACTGTTGCTCCCTTTAAACATGGAAAACAATACAGTTAAGTAAAAATTTAAGCACCAACTCAGTATGTATCAATGATTAAGAATTTACAATTTTACCTTTCTAAGTCTTCCTTTAACTTTTCATTCTTTGATTGAATAGTAGATAGTACCATTTCAAGATCACATCTCAATTTTTGGAACTAGAATAAAAGAATGAGGGCTAATGCTTAGTTATTTAGCTTATACACAGTTTAGTTCTTTTTAAAAAAATTTTCCAGCTTTCTTAAATTTATTTATTTTTTTTTTTAGTAATTACAATTTATTCACTTTGTATCCCAGCTGTAGTCCCCTCCCTCATTCTCTCCCATTCCTTCCCTCCTTTCCCTCTTCTCCTCCCATGCCCCACCCACTAGCAGGGGAGGTCCTACTCTCCTTCCACCTGGCCTATCAGGTCTCATCAGGACTGGCTGCATTGTCTTCCTCTGTGGCCTGGCACATAGTTTAGTTCTTGAATGACAGTTAAATTGGACTAGAGTGTTTCAATTTGTAAGTTTTAGTGGCATACCACTGATAAATATAAAATAAACAAGATTTCGGGCTACATGCTACATATTTTAATTTTAAGCGGAAATTAAATTAATGGACTGTTTTTCTAATAAGAACATACAAAAATTGAAACAAAAAATAAATATCATTCTTTCAGTATTGATTCAACCTGTAACACACTATTTATTACAAGTTATTGGCCAGCAATCATTACTGAAGGAGGCCAGAATACAAGAGTGAGGAAAACAAGAAATCCAGAAAATTAAATAACAAATAACTACATCAGTGATATATACCAGAGAGACAAAAAGAAACCAAAATAATAATAAAATTGTGAGGTACAAGGCAGAATTGTTTTAAGGCATTATGATTTGGAAATATCTCTGACTAGGTTAACATATAAGTAGCAGGGGAAAAAAAACAATAATTAAGTTACTATCTAATAAAAGAAAATTCCAAAGTGAGCAAAATGTAAATTCAAAGGTTCCGAGATATGGATACATTTGAAATACCTAGCCAACATAAAAAACTGTGAAAACAAGTTATACTCTGACCTCTTATCTACTATTCTTTCCTTGGAAAAACATATTAATTAGTATTCTATTCTCTGAATTGCACAGTTTCCACTAATTTATTTTATAACTTTAAATCAGCTATAATTTACAAATGTGTATTATAAACTCTAAAGTAACAAGAAAGAAAGAAAATAAGGGAGGAAGAAAGGAAGGAAGGAGGAAAATAGAAGTAATTAGTAATCCAATGCTGTAATGTAGTGGTTTGCATGAAAATGGGCCCGATAGTCTCATAGGGAGTGGCACTATTGGGAGGTGTGATAAGGGTAAGACCAAGAGACCTGATCCCAAGTCCAAGGGAACATTCAATTTCTGCAGCCCTCTTCCTTTAGGAAAATGCTTTATTGCCATGCAGAGACTGAAATTAGAAGGCAAAGAGTTGAGTGTCCTAAGTTTTCCCGGATACATTGCAGCTCTCATGGCTCCATCTGTTTCCCCAGCTACCCAAAACATCCCTTGGTTTGGCCATTTGTCATCCCTCGGTGTCATACCTGTGTGGACACACTTTCCCAATCTTGATAATATGATAACATAATAATCGGCTGTGTTTTCAGGGAGCTTTTATTTTTTTATTTTATTTTATTTTTTGGTTTTTCAAGAAAACATTTCTCTGTCCAGAGTAGCCCTGGACAGTTCTGGAACTTGCTCTATGGACCAGGCTAGCATCAAACTCAGAGATCTGCCTGTCTCTGCCTCCAGAATGATGGGATTAAAAGTGTCAGCCACCATTGTCTGGCTAATTTTTGTTTCTTTATCCCCAAGACAACCTTTTCTCTACTGTGTAGTAATATGCTTTAAAATACGTATTTCAGCCCCTCCCCCTCCACATATCTTGAAACAGGTAAGCCAAACTAGCCCAAAACTCACTATGAACCCTTGACAATTCTCCTACCTCAACTTCCCAATGACAGGTGTGAGCCACCATGCCAAGCTACATTTTGGACTTAATCTCTCTTTCCTGGCTTACCATTACTAACACACTAGAAATCTCCAACATGTAAGTACCTTTTATATACTACTGGATGACAAGCAGAATCTAGGCAATTTTAAGATGAGAGTCTAAACACTAGAAAGACAAAGGCATGATCAGGTGATTGGGACTTTCAGCTCTAGCCTCCGAGTTTTTGATAAGAGAAGAAAGCTGAAAGTTAAATTTAATCAATGACCAATTGTTTGGTCAATTTTGTCTACATAGTAAAGTTTTCATATAAAATCAAAAGGACTGGGCATAGGTAACTTCTGGACAGCTAAATGCATGGGAAGGTCTGGCACAGTAGCAGACTTAGTACATAGCAGTTCCATTTCCTATAGACCTTAATCTATATATCTCTTTCATCTAGCTTTTCATCTCTGTGTGTGTGTGTGAATGTGAGACGGCTTTTATAACAAATGAGTAAACATGTCTCTATGCAATCTGTGAGTTGCTCTAGAAAATTATTCACACTTGAAGAGAGAGACAACCAAATTGATTCATAGCCAACTTGTCAGAAGTACAATAGAAAACCTACTGTCACCTTTGGTGAGAGGCATTCTCATGAAATAAATGATGGCTCAAAAACTGAATTTTGATGAGATCCAAGATGTGTCTGACGAACTGAACAGCAGTGACTGCACAGCAAACAACATACCAAACTCTGGGGCCTAAAACATCAGCAACTGTGTTTCCAAGGTGAGAGGAAATCCCATGGTGTGGGAAGCAATCCGGTTCAGGTCATTCAGCTAAACCCTGTAAGAGTTCCTGGGTCCCGGCAGGTGTTCGGTTGCCAGCCAAGAGCCACACATCTATGTTCTCTGACCACCATCCCAGACTGAATTGTGGGCCACACAACACCAGAAATTGGGTTTTCCTATCGAGAGAAAACCCCATGGTGAAGGAAGAAACGGGGAATGGCTGACCTCAGGTCATCTAGACAATCCCTGGAAAAGGTTCCGGGCTCCTGTATGGCGCTTAGCCGCCAGTCAAGAGACTGCCTGCATACCTGACTGCATCCCAGACAGACCTAGGTGTCCCAAAACACCAGAAACTGTGTCTCCCTTTTGGAAGGAAACCCCACCATGAAGGTAATATCAGGTCTGACCTCAGGGCACCCAGACAGCTTCCCAACCCCCCAAAACGTTCTTGGGAAAAGTTCCTGGGTTCCTGCAGGTGTCCAGTCACCAGGTACAGAGCCAACTGCCTGTACATGTGTGCTCTACTCACCATCCCAGACTGAACTGTGGCCCCCAAAATACCACAGACTGGATCTCCCTGTCAGGAGGAAACCCCAAGGTGAGGAAAACATCATCAGGTCTGACCTCAGGATAACCAGCTAATCCCTGGAAAAGTTTCTGGGCTCCAGTACGCTCTAACCACTTGCCACACACCTGAGTGTTGTGCTCACCTGCCACTGATTACTGCTTGGGTACTGGGGCACAGAACTCCAACCTCAGACCTAGGAAGCCTGGGATCCACAGAATCTGCCCCAAGACAATGCTCGAAGGTGAAACCTGTCTCCCTAGCTAAACTGACCAAACCACGGGGCTCCCTGTTTCTTCAAGAGGGCTGCACCCAGCAAACACAGTGTATGAGAGCAGCAGCATCTCATTAAATTCAGAACATGAAACCTGAAACCCAGTGGAAGGGCAGCTCTCTCCAGGACTTCTGGTGAGAGGAGAGTCCCTCCTGACTACCAACAACCACAGTTACCACACATTGTCCATACGCCTGAGGTGAACTGTGGTAATTCCCGAGAAGCACTGGTCAGTCAGTGACCATACTCAAAAAGCTTAGGAGGCCTCTTTTAGGAACAACCATCTTCCTGCCAGTGGAATTCTCCCTACCCCAGGATTCCAGCAGGCACCAGAAACTAACAGCCAACAGCTGAGACAGCCAGATAGGTAGAGGCCAGCATAAAAACACAACCAAAAAAAGCCAAAGCAATATGGTATCTCCAGAACCCAGTTATCCAGGGATAAGTAGCTCTGGACACCCTAAAAAAAATTCAAGAAGATGACCTTGCATCTATGCTTATGAAAAAGATAATGGAGAAAACAAAATGCGTAATGAAATAAAGGAAGATAAAGTCAAACAGATTATGGCCATCTATAACGAGATTCAGGCATATGCAGCCAAACAGTCTGTGGCCTTCAGAGAGGAAATAATTAAATCAATGAAAGAAATAAAAGAATCAGAAGAATGTTCAAACAAACAGGTGAACGAATTGAAGGAAAATATGGTCAGACCAGTAAAGGAAATCAACAAAACACTTCAAGTTCTGAAGATAGAATTGGAAAAATTAAAGATAACACAAATGGAGGAAATTCTAAAGAGTGAGAACATAGGGGAAAAAAACAAGAACTACAGAGGTAAGCATCTCCAACAGACTACAAAAGATGGAAGAAAGAATCTCAGATCTGGAAGATACAATGGAATAAATAAATGTATCCATCAAAGAAAATAATAAATCTAAAAAATTCCTGACACAAACCATCCAAGAAATCCAAGACAATATGAAAAGACAAAACCTAAGAATAATAGGAATAGAGGAAAAAGAAAATTCCTGTCTCCAAGGCCCAGAAAATAGTTTCAACAAAATCATAGAAGAAAATTTCCCCAATTTAAAGAAGAGACCCATAAGCACACAAGAGGCCTACAGAACACCTAACAGATTAGACCAGAAAAGAAAATCCTCCCGCCACATAATAATCAAAACAGTCAGTATACAGAACAAGAAAAAAAAATACTAAAAGCTGCAAGGGAAAAAGGCTAAGTAACATATAATGGCAAACCCATCAAAATCACACCTGACTTCTCAACAGAGATTATGAAAGCCAGAAAGGCCTGGATGGATATCATGCAGACCCTAAGAGAACACAGATGTAAGCCCAGGCTACTATACACAACAAAACTCTCAATCATTATAGATGGAGAAAACAAGATATTCTACAACAAAAACAAATTTCAACAATACCTATCCACAAATCCAGCATTATGGAAGATACTAGAAGGAAAAATACAACCCAAGATAGCAAACTACATTCAGGAAAACACAGTAAATAAATAACCTCATCACAGCAAAACTAAAAGTAGCCAAGTCAAAAACACACTACCACAACCAACATCAAAATAAAATGATCTAACAGATACTGGTCATTAATCTCTCTCAACATCAATGAACTCAACTCTCTAATAAAAAGACACAGACTAACAGAATGGATACGTAAACAAGACCCAAAAATCTGTTGCATACAAAACACACCTAAGACACAAAGATAGACATTTCCTGAGAGTAAAGGGCTGAAAGATGGTTTTCCAAGCAAATGGACCCAAGAAGCAAACAGGAGTAGCCATTCTAATATCTAATTGAATAGACGTTCAACCAAAATTAATAAAAAGAGATGGGGAAGGTCAATTCATACTCATCAAAGAAAAATTCCACCAAGAAGACGTCACAATTCTGAACATCTATGCTCCGAAACAAGGGCACCCTCATTTGTAAAAGAAACTTTAATAAAGCTGAAACCACACATAAATCCCCACACATTAATAGTGGGAGATGTCAGCACCCCACTCTCAACAAAGGACAGGTCAACAAAACAGAAATTAAACAATGTCTCTGACAGAGGTCATGAATCAAATGGACCTCACAGACATTTACAGAACTTTACACCCAAACACAAAAGAATTTGCCTTCTTCTCAGCACCTCATGGAACCTTCTCCAAAATAGACCATATAGTTGGTCACAAAGCAAGCCTCAACAGATACAAGAAGACTGAAATAATCCCTTGTATCTTGTCTGATCACCATGGAATAAAGCTGGACCTCAACAATAACAGAAATAGCAAAAAGCCTAAACACACAAGGAAACTGAACAACTCCCTATTCAATGACAGCTGGGTCAGGAAAGAACTAAAGAAAGAAATGAAAGACTTCCTAGCATTCAATGAAAATGAAGGTACAAGATACCCAAACCTATGGTACACAATGAAAGCAATGCAAAGAGGAAAGTTCATAGCTCTAAGTGCCCTCATAAAGAAATTCAAAACATATCAAACAATCAACTTCACGGCTCACCTAAAAGACCTAGGGGGAAAAAAAAAAAGAAGCAGAAACACCCAAGAGGAGTACATGGCTGGAAATAATGAACTAGAAACAAAGAAAACAATTCAAAGAATCAATGAAACCAAGAGCTGGTTTTTGGAGAAAAATCAACAAAATAGTCAAAACCTTAGTCAAACTAACTAAAAGGCCAAGAGACATCATCCAAATCAACAAAATCAGAAATGAAAAGGGGGATATAACAACAGACACTGAGGAAATCCAAACAATCTTTAGATCTTGCTTCAAAAGCCTATATGCCACAAAATTTGAAAATCTAAATGAAATGGACAACTTTCTTGATCGAGTCCACTTACCAAAGCTCAATCAAGATCATGTAAATAAATTAAATAGTTCAGTATCTCCTAAGGAAATAGAAACTATCATCAAAAGTCTCCAATCCAAAAAAAAAAGCCCAGGGCCAGATGGTTTCAGTGCAGAATTCGACCAGACCTTCAAGGGGGAACTAACTCCAATACTCTTCAAACTATTCTATAAAATAGAAAAAGAAGGAACATTACCAAACTCATTCTATGAAGCCACAGTCACCTTGCTACCTAAACTTCACAAAAACCCAACAAAGAAAGAGAATTTCAGGCCAGTCTTCTCCCTTATGACCACTGATGCAAAAATATCCAACAAAATACCCGCAAACCAAGTCTAAGAACACATCAAAGACATCATCCACTATGACCAAGTAGGCTTCATCCCAGATATGCAGGGTGGTTCAATACATGGATATCCATCAATGTAATCCACCATATAAACAAACTGAAAGAAAAAAAACCACATGATCATCTCCTTAGATGCTGAAAAAGCATTTGATAAACTCTAACACTCGTTCATTTAAAGGACTGAAGAGATCAGGGATACAAGGCACATACCTAAACATAGTAAAGGCAATATTCGGCAACCCTATAGCCAACATCAAACTAAATAGAGAGAAACTTAAATCATTCCCACTGAAATCAGAGACAAGGCAAGGCTGCCCATTTTCTCCATATCTCTTCAACACAGTTCTTGAAATCCTCGCTAGAGCAATAAGACAATTAAAGGAGATTAAGGATATACAAATCGGAAAGGAAGAAGTCAAAGTATCACTATTTGCAGATGATATGATAGTATATACATGAGTGACTGGAAAAAAGTTCTACCAGGGAACTCCTACAACTGATAAACACCTTCAGCAAAATGGCTGGATACAAAATTAACTCAAAAAAAAAAAAAATGAGCTGTCCTCTATATAAAAGACAAATGGGCAGAGAAAGAAATTAGGAAAACAATGCCCTTTACAATAGCCCCAAAGGACATAAAGTATCTTCGTTAACTCTAATCAAGCAAGTCAAAGACTTGTATGAAAAATACTTCATGTCTCTGAAGAAAGAAATAGAAGATGATAAGAGAAGATGGAAAGATCTCCCATGCTCTATGGCTCGGTTTTAAGACAGTAAAAATGGCCATCTTACCAAAAGCAATCTACAGATTTAATGCAATTCCCATCAAATTGCCAACACAATTCTTTATAGACCTTGAAAGAAAAATTTTCAACTTCACATGAAATAACAAGAAACCCAGAATAGCTAAAACAATCCTCTTTGATAAAAGATCTGGAGGTATCTCCATCCCTGATCTAAAGCTGTCCTATAGAGCAACAGTAATAAAAACTGCATGGTACTAGCAAAGAAACAGGCTGGTGGAACACTGGAATCGAATAGAAGACCCAGAAATAAACCCACACACCTATGGATACCTGATTTTGACAAAGAAGCCAAAACTATACAATGGAAAAAAAGATAGCATCTTCAACAAATGGTGCTGGTCTAACTGGATATCTACATGTAGAAAAATGCAAATAGATCCATACTTATCACCCTGCACAAAACTAAAGTCCAAATGGATCAAACACCTCAACATAAAACCAGACACACTAAATCTGTTAGAAGAAAAAGTGGGGGACAGCCTGGAACTCACTGGCACAGGAGACAATTTCCTGAACAGAACACCAACAGCTCAGGCTCTAAGATCAACAATCAATAAATGTAACCACATGAAACTGAAAAGCTTCTGTAAAGCAAAAGACACTGTCATGAGAACAAAACAACAGCCTACAGATTGGGAAAGGATCTTCACCAACCCTATATCCGACAGAGAGCTAATATCCAGAATATATATAAAAACAAACAAACAAACAAACAAAAAAACAAAAAACCTCAAGCAGTTAAAAAGCAACAAATCAAGTAATCCAATTAAAAAATGGGATACAGAGCTAAACAGAGAATTCTCTATAGAGGAATATCGAATTGCAGAGAAACACTTAAAACGTGCTCAATGTCCTTAGTATTCAGGGAAATGCAAATCAAAACAACTCTGAGATTTCACCTTACGCCCATCAGAATGGCTAAGATCAAAAACTCAAGTGACAACACATGCTGGAGAGGATGTGGAGAAAGGGGAACCCTCCTCCATTGCTGGTGGGAATGTAAACTTGTACAACCACTTTGGAAATCAATCTGGTGTTTTCTCACAAAATTAGGAATAGTGCTACCTCAAGATCCAACTATACCACTCCAAGGCATATATTCAAAAGATGCTCAAGTACACAACAAGGACATTTGCTCAACCATGTTCATAGCAGCTTTATTCGCAATAGCTAGAATGTAAAAACATCCCAGATGTCCCTCACCTGAGGAATGGATACAGAAACTGTGGTACATTTACACAATGAAATACTACTCAGCAATTAAAAACAAGGAAATCATGAAATTTTGAGCTGAATTAAAGGACAACAAGCTGATGCTTGCTATGGAATCATCTGCTGCAGATTTTGGCAAAGAACTAATTTCTGGTGGGGAGAAAGCTCCAAACCGTATTCTGTAATCCCAGCATGCCTATGGCAAAATGAGAGGTGGAAACAAGAGAGTCCTTAGAAGCTGGAAAGCCAACTACCCTGGAACACTCAATGGCAAGCAAGAAAAAAAAATCCTGTCTCAAAGAGGTAAAAGTTGAGGACCACAGCCAAAGTTGTCCTTGGACATCCACATGTACATTCTCACATGTACAGAACACAGACATACGTGAACAGTAAAAATAAAGAAAATCCAAACCTTTAAAATATTTAGTTCAATAAATATTGAATCAATAAATTTTAATGTGTTGTTTGAATCATTTAACTTACTTCTCATGTTATAATCTTATATAACGCAGTTCTAATTATAAATTATTTGGCAATACTATAAACCGTAAATAACTCACCTCTTCTTTTCCTAATGTTACCAAAGCATCTTCAGTCAGGTGTGTTACTACAAAAATAAAACAAAGTCATATCACTCAGGTAATTCTCAGGAATTTGATTTTGTGGCTTTTCTGAGATAACTCTTTTCCATTCCACTTATGTATTACCAAGCTTTTATAAAATAAATTTTAAGACTTCTAGATTAATATCTTTACACATTATACATATCTCAAACATATAATATTAGATAAATTTGATATCTACACATTTTGTTTTTAGCTCTTTTCCTTCCTAAGGCCTCAAAGGCATGCTGAATAAAGCTTAATAATGAACTCCTCAAGTTATTTTTTCCTGTAGTAATAAATCCTATACTTATCTACATATATGGAAACAAACACAGAAAAGGGTTGTTTTCTCTCATTGTTGGTATTTTAAGAATAGCACGGGGATGGAGCATACTAACTCATTTCAACAATGCAAAAAGTTTTAAAGACTACTTATAGTGTGTATATTTATTTATTTATTTATTTATTTATTATCACTATACTTATGTGAAGAAGTAAAATTTATGTGCATTTTGCTATTATTAAACATTTCAAAAACAATTTTAGGAAAGCTGTGGAACTATAACAAATAATACATCATGTTACTGGAACTTCAGTATAGAAGAAAAGGGGTACAAAGAGGCTGAAAAGTAACAGAAAGAATGTTTCTCAAATTTTGCAAAAGCTCGGCATATTTAAGAACGTGAACATCAGATAAGATGAACCTAAAGACACCTATGCCAACACAAGCTGTAAATCATCTGAAAGCTGAAATTCTTAAAAGCAGCCAGGAGAAAAAAAACAAGGAAAGTATAGACAGAAAATAATATTTTACCTTAATTATGGGGGAAGAGTTATGAGAATAACAGTATATTTCTTATTGGTAGACAGGAAAGCAGAAGCAGGAGATTCATCAGGTGCTGAATTGCATAATCAGTGAAAATATTCTTTAAGAATGAAGAAATAAAGATAATAGAGCCAGGCGTACATATGCCTATAATCCCAGAACATGGGGAGGCAGAGGCATGTATATCTCTGTGAGTTTAAAGCCAGCCTGATCTACAAAGAGAGTCCAGGACAGCCAAGGCTACATAGAGAAACCTTGTCTCAGAAAACAAAACAAAACAAAACAAAAAAAAAAAAAGAAACTAAAGAAAAAGAAAGATACTGTTAGACAAAGACAAATTTACAGACTTTGTCACTAATTATCGACTATAAAAAGAATGTTTGAAATACTTGAAACAAAAACAACAAGCTTTCTCCTCTCCTGCCATCTTGAGCAATATGCCTGATTGTTTTGATTTTTGTTGTTGTTGTTTTGTTTTTTGTTTTTTGCCATGTCTTCGCATAAGACTTTCAGAATCAAGTGTTGTGTTTCTTGGCCAAAAACAAAAGCAAAAATCATCCAATTTTCCAATGGATTCAAATGAAAACTGGCAACAAAATCAGGTAAAAGTCCAAGAAAATACACTAGAGGAAAACCAAGCCAATTCTGTAAGGATTCACACACAATGGCACAACTGTTTATGCTAAATCACAGTCATCCATCAAGCCAACCAGATGGAGTTCAAAAACATGGGATGAGGGTTGAAAAATAGTTTAACTGGTAAAGTTAGTTGCCTTGCAAACACTAGGACATAAGTTTGATCCCAAGAACCCATGTAAAAAAAAAAA